GGAGGAGGAATAATAATCTTTATTTAGTAACCAAAAAACAATTAAATATCTCCCAAATCAAATGCCATGCTTAATGGTCAGATAAAGTCACATCAACACCATTACCTACCAAATCAATGCTATTATCAACCACTTAAGATAGATTTATCATTGTTCTAACAAAATCATGGGACTAGGGTGGGTAAAAACTGCTTTCAAAGTCCAAGAATATTTTATTGAAAAACTTTTCTATTCTTTCATTATTTAAGGTCTATTCATTACTTAATTAGATTTTGCTATATAGAGCTTTGTCGACTATACCACTTTTCTTCCTTGCTAGAAAAAACTCATCCCCACCCCATCACCATTGGAATCAACCAAATTGCTTAAGCTTACACTGCACAAACATCATGTTACAACCCTACTACCAAACGACAAACCAAACACCAATCTTCTTGTCACAACTTTATCCTAAGGCATCACAACCTTCGAACCCATACCTGAGCCAAACACACACCAGAGTCAATGTTTTTATTTATTTTTTCTTACCCATTCTCTTCCAAGTCCAACATAGCAACACGACAAACCCAACCATAGCAACCACTCCTTACTCCAACCCCATCAAACTTTGTCTAAGAACCGGTGAGAGTTGACCCGTTGGTAAAGTAGATAAACTTCTGACTTTAAATGCCCTGAAAAATGTGTTACTTTACTAATAAATTTTTTAAAATTTAGTAATTATCTTAGAATAGTGATTTCAATCTAACTCAATCCTACAAAATCAGCTTGTAAGGTGATGATTGTTCTCTACTTATATATTCTTTTCTTTAATTGTCTTATTTCTAGTCGATGTAAGACTTAGATTTTTCCTACTTATCTCTAGTCGATGTAGGACTTGAATTTTTTTCAATACAATCTCTCACGTCCAGCACTATTGGGCTTGATATGCGGATAAATGATGTGTGACCCTTTTTGAATGATCTAGGATAGGCGGCTTATTTTAAGGATCTAGGATAGACCTGATATCACTTTAAAATAATGGATTTAAGCCTAACTCAACCCTACAAAATCGGCTTGTAAGGTGAGGATTGCTCTTCACTTATATATTCTTTAATTGTCTTATCTCTAGTCGATGTGAGACTTGAATTTTTCGCAATAAATTACTTAGTGTCAAAAAATAAATATTATTAAATTTATGAAATGTACCTAAATACTATTTATTATTAAGAGATTTAGGCAAGTTGGTTGAGTAGAGTGAGTGTGTAAAATGTTTTAAATCTCTTTTAGGGTTTAAGATTTTAAAAAATATATATTTTCTTAAAAGAAAAATCACTTCTGCTTAGTATTAATATATTTTCTTAAAAGAAAAGACAACTCTTAATTACTTGTACGAATAAATATACTTTTATACGAATGGAATGAATTTTACGGTAACCTTAATAGTAAAGATAATTCATGGTTTTTTTCTTTACACCAACATAATTCATTGTTGTGTTCTAATTTTTAAACTTTCTCACCAATTGTGTAAGAAACACAAATATATCATGTTGTCTAGGATGATTTTGGGCCTAAAATAGTTGGAAAAAGACAAATCTTTACCTAAAACCTATGAAGGTGTTGATGTGTTTTTATACATAGGACGGAGCCTTATAAGATATATATTACGATATTTTTTTTGTAATATAAATGAATTTTTTGTAATATTTTGTATATATTAAATTAAAATTTATATTATGCAGTTAAAAAGTTGTCTTTCATCTTTTTTCTTAATTTTAATTAATATATGTAAATTAAAAAAAATATCGAAGAGTTTAAAAACTAGGATATAATTTAATTTTTGAACGAGAAAAAAATCTTATTTTTGGTGTAATTAACATATTAAAATTAAGAATTTATTAATTAAAAACATAAAATAAATAAAAAATAATTAGCATTTCACAATATTTTAGCGGCATACAATTTTGACATACGCAAAAACTCAAGCTTTTACAACCAATTACAAAAAAATCCATGGGTTCCCAAACTATGAGTCCCAAAAACAAGTCTTAATATAAATCCAATCAATTCTAGACAAGATTACAAGACATGAATTAAATTACAATATTTAACATTCCAAATCTTAAGAACATAGGGAAAACTCTAATTCATCATAGCATGCTAAACAATCTCAGAATTTAATCTTAAACACGTCAAGGGTTGAGTTGGTATAAAGATTTGAGCCAACCCTGCATAAATAGTTATCCAAATAGATAATAAAAATCACTGTCTAACTTGCTTCAAGTGAAATTCCCTCTTATCGGTCCCTTATTTGGTTGGTATAAAATAATAAGGAGATAGTAAAAATAAAAGTGTATGGTACTATAAGAAGATGATAGTTCCAACCTTATTATTTCCACACAAAACAGCCACAAACCAAGGTTATTGTACTATATTTTGCCGCGATTTTTTTTTCCTAGCAGTTATAAATCCCTATAAAGTGTATAGTTTTTACAATTTTTAAATGTTTTTGGCGGTTTTCAATTATCACAATTATATTTTTCATTTTAAAATAAATATTGGCGGTTCAAAAATGTCTCTAACTGATAGAATAAAAAATTTGTATCCAATCAAACATTATATAACTTACGTAACGTTAATTTTATTGTAAAATATTTTATTTTATTTTCTATTTCTCTTTTAACACATAAAAAAAAATACTTATCCAAATATCTATCATTATTTCAGAACAATCAAGTAAAAAAAAATTAAATAGATAATAAAAATACGACATGTTCTAACCGGTCCTTTTAGAATCATGCACCGATTAAAGGAAACACAAGTATAAAATTTTTAGTTGAAAGAATACTTTATTCTATCAAAAATCATATAATAACTTAATAAAATTTAGTGTTAAATAAGTTTTTAATCTCTCAACGTGTTCTCAACGTGTAAAGAGTGTAATTTTTAGTTCCTTTTAAATTTTTTACTAATTTTTAGTCCTTCATTAATTTTTATCTCATAAATTAGTTTTTAGAGTTAAGTATCATTGATTAAGTGATAATGTATGTTAATAAATCATAGATAACTTAATTTTAGATGTCTACATGACTACTTAAAAAATATCAAATTATATGGCACATGTAATTTTTCTATTCATTCATGGTCAAACATTCTTTTTTGAAATTAAAAATGTTATTAAAATAATTTTTTACTCCTATGACAATGAACAAATAATAAAATCATACGTGTCATATGATTTGACATGACATGTATTTAACAATCATGTGAATATTAATAGTCAAGTTAGTCATAATTTATTAATATACATCATTACTTAACAAAATGATATTTAACCTCAAAGACTAATTTATGTAATAGAAAATTAATGAAAGATGAAAAGTTGACAATTTTTTTTTGAAAAAAGAATAAAAATTGAATTCTTAAAGAGTTGAGAACTCTAAAATCTATTAAATACTTTTGGACCTATGGGCTAAACAGAACCTAAAAATATATGCATAGATTTTATTTTGTTCAATTTCTAGGAATGAAAAGTATAGTTGCAGTACCAAATCATATTGCTATGTGGTCCCATGCATTTTAGTGTGTAAGTATATGTTGAAGGATAGTTAACTTAGTGTCACCTTCACAGCCCCTACCACACCTGCCTTATGGAACCACGGAATATTAGTGTCAGTGGGTGTCCTTCGGGATAAGTAATTTCTGGCTTTCACAACTATGTAGCTGTAGGGTATGATTAAAGGACAACTTTAATACATAACTTTAGGTACAGTTTTTCAATCAAAATTTAAGTTTATACAAACCTTATTAATGTACATTTGGGTATTCTATTAAGATTAAACTTTAATTCTAATGGAAGAATAACACTAAATAAATGTATCTAAGTTTTGTTTATGATTTCTTTCATAGCTCGTGTATAGAATGGAACACCGACGGGCACTTTGCAATTTTTGCTTGTGACTTGCTCTCGGAACTTTTGACTCAAAAATCCATCTGTTTTATTTTTAAAACTGTATCCATGTCAAATAGTTACAAGTAAATTTGAAGGTTGAAAAAATTTCAAGCGCGTGTTTGGATAATTTTAAGCACTTTTAAGTTTTAACGGATAAAAAAGACCTTCATAAATTATAATTAGCTTTGAATTTTGTGCGTCTATTTGTTTAAAATTTAAAAAGTGTTTCTTTAAGAAACATAAGAATTGCTTTATAAAAAATGTTTATTAAAGAAAAAACAGTTTAGACAAACACAAAAAATAAATAATAAAAAAACAACTTATTCTACTAAAAAATCATTTTATTAAAAATAATTAAACAAACAGACTCTGTATATCTTACCAACGGAAATAATTGATTTTTCGTCAAACATGCATGTCACTCCTTTGAAGAAAAAAAAAAGGATTCTAGATTTAAGTCTTGAACACACCAATTAAAATGAATATTGCACTAGTTTCATCTACTAAGTTATAGAAACATATCAAGACAAAGAAAGGTACTTAAATTTTAGTTATGTTGATTCATTTTGCTTTTTTCTAGAAACCACATATATTTAATACAACCATATACAAAACTTAAACTTATGATCATTGATTAAACTTGAAAATTACACATCTCCAATGGTTGATTCATGTATGAAACTTCGTTGAAATCATGGTGCTAACATAATTTCCACCATATCATATAATATCTTTAATGGTTCACCAGTGATCCAAGCATGCTATTTATCTAACCACCATTATCAGCTTAAAACAAAGCTACATGAGATCGTCCACTGCACGCTCAGACATACCCATTGGCCATTGAAATTTCAAATTGGGTAATTGATGGTTGCTATAAAACACAACCAACTTAAAGCATATTTAAGTTTTCAACACTGAACCAAGATTACCTGAAACTTGTAACATGAAGATTCATCGTATGCTTTTCACCCTTAGATTGTGTTCAAAGTTTCAACTAGTTTTTCTCTGTAACTGTAATGCAGTTAGTTTAACCAAAACAAAAAATAAATAAAAACTCATAAATGAAAAGGATCACTTAACCGTACTCGGTGCTCATCTTTTGATTGACAGAATTACGAGCAAGAAAATTTTATAAATAAGTAATTTAGCGGACAAAAGAAAGGGAGGTAAGTTAAACCCTTAGACTTATTTACATTTCTGCAACACTATCAATGATATTGACACAAAGCGAAAGTTAATCCAGACAGCATTAACTTCAGACATGTCTCTTCCTTGCTTTTGGATTTCATTTGGTGAGGCGAGGAGAAAATTAGAGAATAAAGAGAAAAGAAAACAAAAGTGAACAAAGCTACAAAACTGAGAGAGAGAGAGATAGAGAGAGAGAAATTTTACACAGCAAAGAATCCTAATCACTTGAATACGACCATGTTTGGTATAGACAGCTGTAAATTAATACCTGGCTTCATATAGATGCCTTAACTTGTCTCGTATGTTAAGAGACGTCAAGAGTATTGTAACCCTTCAAAGCTAGGCAGGCATGATTTCCACATTGTAATGTTGAAATGTTGAGTGAATCATTTAACTACCCAAATTGGGCTATCTGGAAAAAACTAAATGGATGTTGTTGTCGTTCTAGTACAGGCGTCCCCGGCACTTCGCAGAACCACAAAGGCAAGGAGATCCCTCTCCAGGCAGAAACTCATAATGATAATTATATGTCAATTCTTCACCCAAAGCAATCTGTTAACAAGAGACAAAGTGAAATCTAATCCATGTAGTATAAAATGCTAGACAAAACAGCGATGTCAATTAGTGGCAATCATGCAGAATTTGTAACATCAGAGGAATTTTCATTCTTATCAAGTAAGTGATGTCCATTATCTAATCCATAAATTCAAAACATTCTTCTTTTCCCTTTCATTACTAATGAGGGCAACAGTTATAACTTTCAGCACTTTATAGGGTATATTGATACGAACTTTGGGAGAACCACGCTACAAAAACTAGCTGTTATAGTTGGATAGTACAAGGCCTTGTAAATCCTACACTAAAATCTTAAACTTCCAATGTGGTACTCAATTCTTGCATAATGTAACTGGATCTTAGCATCGTACCATGGTCAGCAGCCTTGAAACCCACATGGGCTGATTGTGCACTAGCCCTTTGACTAGTCTTGGGCGAACAGTGCAATGTCAGCACCATCCATGCTACTTGTTTACATTTGGGAAACATGGTGGAAGACTTTTTTTCAGTATGTTTAGTATTTGTGTTTTTGGAGGGGAAAAGAGGAGAACAAATATTTTATATTTAAATTAAGAGAGTTATATAATGTTTATAAAAATATATAAAAGATCAACACATAAAGTTTATGCAAATCTATCATTTCTTTTATTTTAAACAAAATTATCAAATTGAATAATATTTATTAGAAATGAAAAAATTGCCCTCCATTCCCTTTTCCTCTAAAACCTAACTCCCAAACATACCTTTTAGGGATTACCTATAGCCACATCTCATTTGGTTTGACTCACCTCATCCCACACCAAATCAAGAAAAGTGTTTGTCCGAGCATACTCCCATGAAACATAATATTGGGCCACTCTCAAGGAAAAGTCATAAAGAGAAGGGTTCTTACATCTCGATTTGCATAGAGACCAATATGTGCACGCTCACAATCCATGCTCTCCACAAGAACTTGATAACACACAAGATTAGGCGAGCAGCTGCAATAACGACAAATTTTAAGAGAAAACCAACCGCATTAGGAAGTAAAAACCACTATAGAATATAAATTTGCTAGTGATAAAATCTTGAGCTTCAATAAAACCATTAATGCTCGAAGGAAAAAAAAAAAGTAAAATCTTTATCATTTCAAAAAACAAAAATTGAACAAATTGCATAATCTTATTTTTGTTGTATCAAATAACAAATACTGCCCTACATTAAAGCTATGCTCACCTGTTATTGATGAACCTCGAGACATTTCCAAATTTAGAAGAATCAATGACATAATGAGCCTGTCCTTCAATCAATCTGCTCATATCATTCACATGATCATCAATGTCATAGAAATAACTGCAGTGTTCATTGCCGTATCTGGTATTGACATAGACGGAGTCACTAAAAGAGAAGAAACATCATTTAACTAAAAGAAACTACATCATGAAGAAATGTAAACCTTTTGCGCCGGTTGTGTGCCTCTTGCCTATCTAAAACCTCTCCAACGTACTCGCACACAAATGTGCCACGAAGGATAGCCTCACCAGCCCTTACTGCCCATCCCTTTGAATAAAATAATAGAAGTCAATGTAACTGGCCTTAAAAGTCACTTGCAATTTATGAAAAGAAGAATAGTAGCACCTTCTTCTCTGTTTTAAAGACTTCCAATTTAACTCGTATTCCATTCTGCAATATTCTGTTTGGACAGGTTTTATAGCATTTGCACATCTGGTTACATTCATACACAAGGTAACCTTCCTATAGTTTTGCAGAGAAATTCCCAGCATAAGACAAAAAAAAAATATTTATAGATTAGTAATATAGAAATAGAAAAGGGAAATATCTTCTGTATATCCTATATAATTAATTCTAAAACAGATTCCTGCATGCCCATGGTGGTGATAAGAGTGTTAAGTCAGTTTGCACAAAACAGTCGTACTCCTAACACAAAAGGGACATAACACCAAAATATAGAAATCCAGAAATAAGAACGAAGGTCGAAGGTATATTGTACATGGGATTTAAGGATAACCTAGATATGTTGCCAAACAATGCCTAACATATTTATAACAGATTTTATATATAATGGCAGCTAATAATTAATACAAATATTTTACCTCCAATATCATTCGACCATTCTCGTCATATGGGAACCTTCCACGCATTGGTTTCCCAAATATGTCTTTTGCATCATCATAGTCATTGTCAAAAAGGTAGACGTGATCACATGTTTCAGGATAGCAGGCAGAAAATGAGCAAGCACATCTCAGTTGCAGACTCTGCTAATAAATAAATAGGTTTAAGATTATTGAGAACCAATTAGAAGTACAGTGTGCTCTACAAAACTGATTTCTAGCTTCAGTTTCACAAACAAATATAACATAAAAGTGCAACACTTGTGTGGATCCTTGAGCATAGAACTTGGTTCATTTTAGATCCTTAAACAAACATGAGTATTGATGAGCTATCATATGACAAATAAGTATGCGACATAACATGCATTTATTATAAAAGTAGTTCACTCTTATGTGATTAGGATTTGAGCAAAGGATAAACTAAGTCACGGTTAACTACCTCAGAATCAAGACCAAGTGATTGATCAAGCATTGGCTTCGTAACATAGGTAAAGCTCTCCCATGGCATAGAGAGATTTATGTCTTCCTCATTGGACCCATGCCTAAGAGAGTTTATAATATCTTGATCGACAACACAAATCACAGGAATTGGTTCCTTCCCAAAGCTTATGTCCTCACACAAGACTGTGGCCTTTTCTAAGGATCCTACTTTTAAATGGTATGAATCAATGATGTAGTGAAACTCATCCACCTCCAACTCGTCACTAGCAGGATCTGATAAAATTACAGAATTCGGCTTTAGGAAACCATTAGAAAGAGATGCTAAGGGAGAGAGATGCCTTTGGTCTTTCAAAACCTTACAACCCCTAGGACAAATGAACCCATCCTGGTGCCAATTCACCAGAATGTTATTGTCGCTGCAAAGTTTTGCTGCCTTCAAATAGAGCCTTTCAGGCAAAATTCCATATTTCTCCTCTAGTGAGGCTTTAAGACTGACTTTGCAGCATGCAGAACGACCAATGGATAAGATATCAAGATTGTTAGGCCGGGGTTTAGTCTTCTGAATCTCGGAAAATAAAATCTTTGCAACTGCCGAGCATTGATATTCTGCCAACTTCCCAACATTTGCTGTCTCAGTTACATGATCTTTTATGGTTGTTTCCACCATGTCAAGTGATTTTGTTTCCTGAATGTTTCTCTTTAAATTAGCATTAGCTCTATTCCTGATCTTAACTGCTGCTGCTGCATAACCATTTTTAAATCTAGGTCGGCTAAGTCTGCCAGATTTTAATCTATGTGTATAATGACGAACTCCCCTTTTTGTAGAGCAGCTGCTAACTAGTTTGCGCCCCATATGAGAAGCTTGATGATGGCGACCCAGGTCAGGTAGTAAATTAAATTTTAACCCACAAAACCGACAAACAAACCTCCGCAAACCACCTAGATTGTCAGAATTATTCTCCACAGAAGCTGAATTTCCCTGCTCAATTTTTTCTGGAGAGTCCTCACAAGTAGGCAAAGTTTGCTGCTCAGGAGCTTTAGATGGCTTGAATTCTGCAGGGTGAACTGATAGAACATGCAGCCACAACTGCTCCATATTTCCAAAATGACTACCACAGGGAATACATTGGAGAAGCAAGCACTGTTCAACAAACTGCACATGGTGTCTCTCCTGAACATGGATTTCCAATAGTTTCTTGTTTGTAAAAGAATCCAGACAAATGGCACACGCATAACCTCTGAACAGCCACTGTGCTTCCTTCTTATGGTTGTCCATCCAATGGTTGCCAAGAGTTTGGTCATCAAGAAATTTTGCATAGCAAATCTTACACTTAATGGCATTTTCATTATCATAGCTGTCATTATCTGTGGATGGAATGAGAGGTGGTCCTTCCACAAGTGAGGATACATTTATTTCATCGTCAAATTCCCAAATCAATTTGATTCTCTGCTTTTCACTACGAACCAACTTTGTAAAGAATTCTCCAACACTAGTATCTTTTGAGGCTTCAGTTAGAGCCTGCAGGAACTGAACTTCCTTAGAAACTGGGCTTTTTTGTGACAGAATGCTTTTCAATAGCCTGTAAAAAAGCTCACATGCTTTATGCAGGTGCACCTTTTGCTTCCATGAGCAGCAGTCCCTTAAAAGTTTTGTGAACACTTCTTTTGATATTATCCTACTCTTTCCATTTCTTGCACGTCTAAGCCAGCTTGGAAGGTGTTTTTCACAATATAAGAAATATCGGTTTGGTGCCTCCAAACAAGGGTCCTTGTTATCATAAGGAGGAGAGCCTATACAGCGAAGTGCCTCCATTGCAATCTGATCATTTCCAGAAAGGATGGGCCTCTCATCTAAGTTGCTTCTTTCAACGAAGGAATCACCATCAATGGCTGGCACCGGTTCTACTTGAAATGAACTTTCAGCATTTATCAATACCATGTCTTTGCTGATCAAGACTTCTGAACCAATTTGTTTTTCTTCAAGTTTTCTCTTCAGCATACTATTGGTTAAATTTGAGGTCTCATCTGTTTCAGCACGGGGACGGTGTTTCTTACAGAATGAAGAGCCAGGAAGGGCATGATGCTTACATTTAGTATGATGAACAGTTGTACCTCCACACATTGGAGTATCAACTGAAACAGGTTTTTCAGCTTTTACTGAGCTGCCCGAAAGACGAGATGACAAATGCGCACAGCAGTATACCTCACCATCATTTGCCCATCTCACACACTGTCTTCCCTTGGCTTCAATATAAGCTACACATTGTCGATTCTTAGTATCAGGTTCTACAATTTTTTTACCAACCATTTCATTCATATGTGTTGATTCCATTCCACTGCAATGCAACATATTGGAATCAGCAGCATCAACTACAATTTCTTTCCATTTATTGGTCAAATTACTAGGTAAATCAGTTGCCACAGGTACCTCCCTAACATATTTGTGTGTAGAAGTCTCAACTGATACTGTACTCGAAATGTCCTTATTTCTATAGAAACCTGGGTCAGTTTCAAGAGTAATTGGGTGATCTGAACAGTTGGTTTCCACCAGTGAAGAATGTGTCTCTGCCCGACGAACTTCAAGTTTGGGCCTTTTTCTACCAACCTGAAGGCTTACTTGGTACAACCCATCAAATGTCAATTGCTGCATATCCTCACTGCTAGAAAAGGAAGGTGATGTCGAAAACCATTTCATCACATCATGCTTCCAGGTTTTCCATTCACAACCTAATGTTGATTGCACCGGTGTATCCCAGAGAGTGTTGACATCCTTCCATAAAATAGAATCAAACAATTCCTGAACAAGAGAATAAGGAATAAACCAACCAAATATATTGAGCAAAGCAAAAGTTTTTGTGATTATTGTTTAAAACAAAGCTATGTATTTATTTCAGCAGGCTTTAGAAATTTGACATGATTTCAGTCCCTGCATCAGAAAGGAAGCACCACATTACCCACATTCTCTACTATTAAAGTTTAAAATGCATTAACAAATGTTCCTAAAAATATTGCATTAAAAAAATGGCATTAGAAGTGTTAATTATATTATACTGATATCCCTAGATGGAAGAAGATAGCCTCAGTAAATCAAAATAGGAAATTGAATGCATATCGGATTTTGGTTTTCAGTAACCTATCAGATAAACTTCTAGAGACTACACATTATCTTAAAATAATAGGAATTATGTAAGATCATAAATAATAATAATGAATGTTCTTTATCTTTGACACATTTTGGTGAGCGGTGGTGTTCATAAACTGATTAAAAAAATTGAAAAACCAAAAAAAAATGTAAATTGGAAAAACCAATTTTTTTTATTGAATTGAATCAGATTTTGGATTTGATTTTAAAAACCAACCTAATCTAATCCAAATTGAATTTATTTATATGTATTTATTTTTATTTATAAATTTATGATACAACTTGTGCTTACATTTTTATTTCTCATATATTTGTAAAATTATCACATAACTTATTTATGAAAAATATATTTAATAGAAGATAATTTTCAGTATCTATTTGAATAAATAAATAAATTATCAAGTTGGGCAAAAAAAACTAATAGTATATATTTGAAAAGTTATATAATATTTATTGATGAGATATTTGATATTTTAAATTATTTGAATCACTTTGATGAGATAAATTTGAATATATATATATTTGATGAGAATGAGATAAATTATTTTCCTGCAGAAGTTCAATCCTCTCCATCTCCATTCTCTTAAATAAAGCTGAGTTTTCAGCACTAGGTAGATTAAGCATGTGTATTCACACTTCAAGCCTAATGGATGCATGCACGATGAGAGGTTATGTTAAATATAAAAAATCAAACTTGAGCCTTCACCTAATAACTTAAGTCTTTATTATCCTTGAATGTCCTTTCATCAAAATACACTTCAGGAAAGAAATGGAGCCAGGGCATACAAAATAGTAGCGTCAGACAACCTTTAGCTATGCATGTGAATTTTAAGCATTTTAGTGTCCTATTTTTATGTTTCTCGTCCATTTATGAGTATTAAAAAAAAATGAAAGTTGCCTTGATGATCATTCAAACATGAATAGACAAAGTCCTATTTTCTGGATACATGAATTGGTCACCAAAATTATAAAGTACCTCCTTCAGTAGCTCTATAGATTCGGCACTATTTGCATTCTGGCATCGTGCAGCCCAAGAGTAAGATGAATGTTGCATCCAATCAGCATTTGTGTAGTGCTTTACTATGCTCTGTAATGAAAAAGGGCTTATGCTACTTAAGTCACCAAAAACGAAGGTTGCCAAGAAATATTAACCGAAACCATGATACTTGAATTTATCTAATGAGAACTGAAAATACTAGGATCTATGAATTTTAAAACTACATTATAGCCCGAATGACATAAATAGCACATATTATGCAAGTAATTTACATTAGACATCAGCGTACAACCTCACAGGAGTGCTGGAAATTGAATTCAATCAAATTAACGAGTTGCCATGTACCGGCAATATGTGCTCAGCCGAGTGACAGATGCAAAATCAATTGAATTGATGATATGCAATATTAAAGAGATGCCAAGCCAGTCTCTTATATCTCCCCTTGATAAGAAATCAGGCCAACTATATTTAAAATAAGAATAAAAATATGTATAAGTGAAAACTAAAATGGTCCTTATTTTACAGTGCTATCCTGAAATACATGATATTACATGCAAAGTAGATATGAATTCACCATTAGTTTTAAGACGTGATATTAAGTATGCTTGTGGACCCAGGAGACGCATCACCCAAACGAGTGGAAGAAAACGGAACCCCTGGCAGCATGTTAATGCCTAAGCCCAAACAAGAACAATAAATACTAGTAGTGAGGCTTGAAGAAACAAGAAAAGAAACCATATAATTTAAAAGTAGGAGAATATTAGTAACCAGAAGAAAAAAATGAGGACAGGAAACCCAAAAGCCATGTAGCATAAAAAACTTCAGGGCCAATGAACAACATTACAATAGTAACCAAGGTATGCGTTATCCCTAAAAGACATGTTAGAGAAGAGCAAAAAATGATCATCAAGGTTTCATTTGCAACTTATTCACAAACATTTACCAAAATCTAACCTGTGAAGCAAATTCCAAAGCTGAATTGTTTGTAGAATTTTTTTTTTTCAAACATAAGGTTCCAAAGCTGCATTGTTATCAAGTATCTTTACAATTTTATTTGACTTGAAAATATATAATAAAGGCAAAACTTATTGTAAATAAATCACACTACTTTGTTATGCAAGTAGAAGCTTCACATTCACAATGACTATATTTTAGTGTGTATTAACCCATTACCCAATAGAGAGCATAACTAAAACAAGTTCAGACATTTTAAAATAAAACAATCTTAAAATACTGAAAAAATGTAAGCTCTATACTCCATAAACTATTATCAGAAATTGTAATTTACATTTTGTAGCTTTAGAAGCATTCTTCCAAAATCTGAATAACTGTTACAACGAGAAGTCTCCATAGCCAATTCCTTCCAAACCATCACATCACGAGCAGTTTCTAGCAAGGCCTATGAGAATCAAAAATATCAAAAGTAAAAAATACAATAAAAAATGGTAGAGATTACAAGAAAACAGAGTGAAGAAGAAATAGAACCACCATCACTTACATTAGGATGAAGCTGATCAACAATGCTAATTACACCAATGGCTAGCTTTTGCATTATAAACCGTCTTGCAACAGTCAAGTCTTTTACCATTTTCAGTCCTGCTTCGTGAGTTTTGTATGCAATAGGCTGGGGAAACTCATAAATTGAACGAACAAGCAGCATATCAGCCCAAGAATAGTTCCTTGTGTGAGGAAAAAATATGACATAATATTTCTTCCGGCCATGAGTTGGTTTTGCTTTTAAAGTTGATAATGGCCAGTCAGCCCTTGCACATTTAATACCAGCCTGCCAGTTCCCTCTCCACTAAAAAAGACAGAGAAGTAAAAAAGAATACAAATTAGGCAACATTGCATTCTGATTCCCCCCCCCCCCCAACC